TCAGCGCCGCCACACGCTCGCGTCATGATACTGTCATGAACGTGTGTTCAAAGTGACGCAGTAGAGATGAAAATGTGGAATAAAGTCGTTATTTTTGTTTTCTTTGCGCAAAAAAGTATTCTCGTAGCTTCGTAACTTTACAGTTGAACCACTGATGTCACACGGACTACTTTGTTGATCATCTTGGTACTTTTCTGGACCTTGAACGTGGTAGTTACCTTGCTGTCTATGGGAGGGTCAGAGAGCCCTCAGATTCCATCAAATATATCTTAAATTGTGTTCCGAAGATGAACGGGGGTCTTACGGGTTTGGAACAACACGAGGGTGAGTAATTAATGACAGAATTTTCATTTTTGGGTGAACTATCCCTTTAATGTAGGTATATTGTTTTTGAGCATTATTAAAAAATATCTATCTATCTATCTATCTATCTATCTATCTATGGCCCATGAAAATTCAAACTTAAAAGCCTTTTCAAAACTTGAAAGTTTTTGTCAAGTCAGTATTCAAAGCCTGTTTTGGCTAATTTAGTTTTACTAGTTATATATATAATTATTTATATATTACAGTTATATATTACAGAATTTCTTTTCATTTCAATTAATATTCATTCTTCCCTACATTCAAATTTAAATTGCATTTCTGCATCCTGTTTGTTAACTCAGATCTTAAAATCCATAATAAATAATTAAATTTACCATAATTATCCTAACATTTAATTACCATATTCATATATTCATAAGGTATTTATAAGATATTCTAAAGAATGCTTTTGCATGTTTTAAGCCTTAATTGACAGCAGCTCTCATCTGTGCTGCTCCAAATACTGCTGTATCTCTCAGCAGCTTACATCATCCCATTACTTTTGATCATCTACAAAAGTAAGTCCTTAAAAACTGTTTTTGTAGTGTTTTTTGGGGTCATTAGAGGTATTTGGTTAGTCAGTCATCACTAGTACTATTGCTCATGCATGCATATGGTTAGGGATTTGAACTAACGTTCACATTTTTTATGCTATCTTTGTGACAGCTTATGTGTTGAGTTATCCTGACAGCCGACTCGCTTTAGACATGTGTCTACTGTTTCTTATGGCCAGTCTTGAGGTCCTGAGGGTGTACTGGGGTAAGTTTGGCAAGATCCTGTTTTTGTTTAGGCAATCCATGAGCAAAAAAACTTCCAATGGCCTCTCTTCCTCAGGGGTCAGGGGGAACCTACAGGAGAGCGAGAGCTACACAGCTTCAAATTTGATTGCAACAGGTGCCACAGTGCTCGCACGTGCTGCGAGCTGACGTCATTATCGGCTCCATCCTGATCTGCTTGTATGGTCTAACAGGAATTGTGGGGCTCGGGACGCTGGCGCGCTTCACCAGGTCAGAGTTCATATGCTTGTACACTCTATATTGGCACTGATGGTTCCATGAAGAACCTTTAACCTCCATGGAACCTTTCCATTCCACAAGAGGTTCACAAATGGTTCTTTTAAGAACTGTTCGCTGAAAGATTCTTTAAGGAAACAAAAAAGCTGCCTTGCTTTGTAAGGCTGCATCAAAAGTGAAATGCTTAACGCAGCAATTCCGAGCATCATCCAAACAGCATTTTTCCTGCAAAAACTCACGGGACAGTTGATTTGCAATTGATTTCACTTGAGTTTGTCAGTAAATGTTGGTGAACTAACAACAGATAATAAGCATAAAAATATGTAACACATTTATTGAAATCCAATTTTGCTTGAGCACGTCACACTTTCTCACAAAATATGATGTGCAGTTTCAAAACTTTTGACATTCAACCGCTTTTGTTTAATTTTAATAAGAGCTTTAAAGCTAATACACATACAGTAGTCAACATTTGAAGTGGATCAAAAAAGTTCATCAAAGTTGTTCTAAGACAAGAACGCATTTTGGTTTTAGGTTTTAGGACAACTTTGATGAAAGATTTTGATCCACTTCAAATGTTGACTACTGTAAATAATTTGAAAAACTTCATATTTTGTGATTTTTTTGTTGTAGTTTTATTCATATTTTTTAACTCAGCTTCATCAAATTAGGTAATATTACACCTTTTTTGCAAATCAGAAGACATTTTTTTCAAGATGCAGGGCTGTGTTATAGCTATTATGTTAAATTATTTCCATTTCTAATACATTTTTATATTTCTATAAATTATTTATAATGATCACATCAATCAACACTCCATCTCCCATGATGGCAAAGCAAAAACCAGATTTGTGATAACTTTGCAATTTTATACAAAATAACAGAACTGAAATAATCACATGACATAAGTATTCAAACCTATGCTATAACATTTGACATTTAGCTCAGGTGCATCCTATTTCTCTGGATCATCTCAGAAATATTTCTACACTTTGACTGGTGTAAATCTGTGGCAAATTCAAGTCAACAGGAGAAACTACTGAAATATTTTTGTAAGATTTTTCCACCAGAAACCCTCTACTGGAACTGAAGTAATTTGATTCTGTCACTCTCTGTGAAGGGTTTGAATCAGCTGAGCTTGATTAAAGCACACTAGCTTGGAGATGCCACATTGTGTTCGCGCTGCTCAGATAACACTAACTGACTGGCGGATCAACAAAAGTTGTGCGTCCTGGAATCATTTCCTTTCATTGAAATGCACATTAATATTGCAGCACAGACATGGAGTGCATAATTATTCTACCTTGTAATATACCCCGTTCTCACCAAATTCTGAGATATACGCATATCTTTCTCATATTACTGCATTGTAACGAAGTAAAATTTTGACTATTAAATGCATTTTGTACTTGCATTCATAAAATACTTGTCTAATTCAATAGTGTCTGTTTTACACAATATTTCATGTGAAATATTTTAATATTTGTACTTGCAGAGCATCATGTGTTTATCTTAGCAACATGCTAACAGCAAAGTCTATGTTCATGGCTTGGCTATCAGCACAATGCAGCTGCCGTAACCCAGACTGTAACGTCACTGTCAGAACAAAAGATTTGTAAAATGAGCGTGGGGACAAAGCAAGAGATGCAGTCAATCTGTCGGCCCACGCCGAGCCGCAGATACAGTGATCGGCCTCCTGAATGAACCACACTTCAATAATGCAAGCTTTAGACTGGCCTTCAGAAACTAAGTCGATTTTCATTCATGGGAAAAACACGGGAAACAAAAGAGACGGACAATTATTAACATTAGGCTCTTAAAAGTCAGATGGTGTATTCTCACATCTGTACCCTGTAGAGTTTCTGAAGAAATCCCAACTGTGTCTCAAACTGCTTAAATTTGCCAAGACACCAAAGTATACGCAGAAGTCAATCTAGTTTTATTTTAGGAGAAACATCCGAGACACATTTGGTACTGAAGTGAAACATAACCATGAAGTCTCATAATCATTATGTCTTGTGCTTACTTTAGCCTGGTTTCTCATGACAACACTATTTAGTTTTATTGCTATGCAATCAACTAGTTTGCTTATCTATAAATCAAAGTTTGATTATAATTCGTAATCTGCCATATATAATAGTATTTTCATAAATAATACTTGACAACTGTTGTTTGTAAACATTTCCCGAATGCAGAATTATACAACTTTTTCTAGATCACTTACCTGTATAAGACTGGGATCTGCATGTCATGTGTACGTCATTTAAAAATGTTGTCAAAAATATTAATTTTCTTTTTTGAAGTAGACACTTTTAATGTGTACGATCCCTGTTTCTTTAATAAAAAATACTTTAAAGTGAACACTTTTGAAACTCATTTTTAATCATTTGTTCAAATTAAGAATGCATTACATTTGTGTTCTGTTGCAGGAATCTCTGAGGCAAGGAGCTCTGGGACCAAGCTAACATTGCAAGGAGTTTGGAGAACATGGTGCCCATTACAGGACCCTCTTTGGCAGCTGTAACAAACTTCTGTTTCATGGAGGGGGCACTAACTGGCACTTCTGGGACCAGGAGGCCATGACAGATGAAGGGAGCTTGATGGGAGCTTTTGAACTGAGATGCTTTGGTTTCTGTCTGTGGCTGAACCTTATCACAGGAACCTCTGAAGAAGTAATGACGGGAATATCTGGAACCAGGTGGCCACGACAGATACCTCTGGGCCTATATGGGGATCACTGGGAGCTTGGAGCCCAGGGTGGCTGTGGACTAAGACGGCTTTTGGAGCTGGCTCTGGCCTTTACAGGAACCTCTGAGGAGGCAATGACACCGTTGGGGTGCCTATGACAGGTGTGGAGCAGCCATAGCAGGAACCTCTTTAGTAGCTGTGGCTTGCATGGTGGCAGAGAATGCAAGCGCTGTCATTGTGGAGGTGGAGACAGAGAGCTCTGGTATTTGGACAGCAGGAACCTCAGGAATGGAGTGGTCATGATGGGAAAAACAAAAGGGGCAACCAAAAGAAGTATGTACATATATACAATATGTACACATCCCTCCGGAAGCAGTACCGCCAGATGCAAATACTGCTTCCTCAAGCCAAGACGCAAGACGCTACACAAGGCTTGGTCGCCCCGCAAGACGCAAAGCTGCATGAGAGACGCCAACTGGAGTGGTCTTATGTGACGACCTGAGACAAAACAGAAAAAACAACAGGTTTGACTTTTTGGTTCCTTCCCATGAGAAATTAATTCTTTTTAGCTGGTCTCAGGTTCACTACCTTAAACCAGTTGTGGGACATGATTTGGCCCAGACCAAGTCGCCGGCTTGGCTTTTCATGCAGGAGAGCCCTGAGGAGGTGACAGCATTCTGTGCAGGAAGACGGGAAGGACAGTTAACCTAGAACTTTACACCTTAAATTACCTTAAACTTTCTCTGTTTGATCATGTTATTCAAAACTAAATAGTTTCTATGATTATGATACATTTTTTTTTGTGATGAAGATCTCACCTTTTGACAGGCCGGGTTCGGACCAGTGCTTGTAATGCAGCAGGAACAGGTCATAGTCACTAGGGAAACGTCCACATAACATTGTGAACATTAGAACCCCTAGTGACCAGACTGTTGCCGGCCTGCTGTAGTACTTCCCCCTGCTGTGGTACTCTGGAGGGGAGTACACTGCTGTGCCTGCAGGAGAGAGGAGTTTGTATGATGTGCAAGTTTGCATTAATGCAGCACGATTGTTCTGTATCTATTAGGAAGAAATTAATTATATCATGCATACTAGAGATCGACCGATATGGGTTTTTCTATAACCGATGCCGATGCCGATGTTTAGAGGTCAGGGTCAGCCGATGGCCGATATGTGCTGCCGATTTTTATGATATATAAAAAAATGACAAATATCGGCCCGATATATCGGCCGACCTCTAATGCATACCATGGTATGACTTGTATGGTGACCTCCTCAGAATGTCCCCGCATCCGAAGTCAATCAGCTTGACTTCGGATGTCTCCCTGTTTATCAGTAGGTTCTCCAGTTTGACGTCACGGTGGAGCACTCGGCAGAGGCAGCACATGTTTGCAGCGTGAGCTGCCTGCCACATGATTTGCCGCACTGTTTCTTCATCAAGGCTTCCACCGCAACGCCTCATGATCTCTATCAGATTCTCACAGGGAGAGGGACATTCGAGGACCATGACGAAGTGGTCAGGGTGGTCCTGCCAGTCCAGCAGCCTGATGATTTCTGGCACGCTGGGACCTTTATTCACCAGGATGGTGAGGGCGATTTCTTTTGGAAGGGGGACTGGATGATCAGGCTAGAAGACAGATTGTTTTTATATAGGGATTTGTTTTGGGAAATGTTTTATATTGTTTATATAGTGCAATGTACTTACAATGAATATACATTCTGTGTGCTGTGTCTTCGTGACATTTCAAAGCCACCTGATGAACAAAAATAGAACTTAAGAAACACTAAGAGGGCTTAGAGTAAAGGATGAGACAGGACAAACATTTGATGGCTTGATAATGCGTTATTTATATGAACTTACTTTAAGATCATCCTCCAGACATCTCCCTTCATACACCACGCCAAATCCACCTTTCCCCAGCTGATCACCAATGTGTAGTGGCTGAAGATGTAGTCTATTAAAAGAAAAAATAACATTAAAATATTGTCTTGCGATGTGTCAGGCAGTAATTATAATTTTTTCATGTAATTATACATTTTAATGACTGAATATTTATAGTTTCAACTAGGGCTGGACGATATGGCCAAAATTGATATCACGATATATTTCTTAATTTCGGTCGATACGATATAATTCCGATATCGATATGAACACTATTTATCTGAAATAGAAATCTTTTGTAACATTATAAATGCCTTTATCATCACTTTTGATCAATTTGAAGCATCCTTGCTAAATAAAAGTATAATTTCTATAATTTCTTTCCC